CACTTACAGCTTCATGCAAACATTTGAACACCACCAAGTTCAAGTCATAAGTTTTGTTAAAAAACAATTTCAAGCCATCCTCTACAGAGAACAAACTTTAAGATGCAATTTTCTGCTAATTTTAGTGCATCATTTCAAATTATTTGCTAAATTTAACATACTGGAAAAAATAAAACATTAAATGCGCCATCACTTTTGAGCAGACCACATGTTTTTTTCACCCAACATATTAAATTCAGCAAATAAGGAGTAATTGTGCATTAAAATGTGCAGAAGTGTGTTCTCTGTACACTCTTTAAAACGATGGTTCTACAAGGGTTCTTTAGTGAAGACAAGGATTCTTTGCATGGGAAATGATTCTTCAGATTACATGTTCTATATAGAAAAAGGTTCTACATAGAACCATATACAATCCACATTCTCCATCAATCTGAAGAACCATTTCAATATGCAAAGAACCTTTGTCTTTACTAAAGAAATTTAAAGAAACTCTTTAAAGGAAAGAACCATCTTTGTAGAGAGTGTACAGAGAACACACACATATACAACACATTCTCCATCAACCATTTTACCATGCAAAGAACATTTAAGCACACAAAGTGTTCATGATTCTATATAGAACCACTTTCTTTACTAAAGAACCCTTGAAGAACCATCTTTTTTAAGAGTGCAAAGGATGTGTTAATGTATTTTGACTTGTTTGTTAATTTGAAAATTTGATTTAACTTTTGCAAATGACTATATATATAATACTATAATATATAAAAATAATACAGTATTATCAATATTTGTGTGGCCTTGTGTTTCAAAAACAGTTTTAATTCATTTTTACATGACCATTTTCCAGTCTCTCTTTATGTTTTAGAATTAAGCAGGCTGTTTTGTTACTGTGCCTTCAAGTCTAACGTATATAAATTACCGCTCATCCATCTTGTGTCTCATTCTGAAAGCAGTCCAGGCTGAAATGTGGAAGGAACTTAATTTAAGTTAATTTAAGACTGAAATCTTCCAAGACGTCAGACAAAGTAAGCTTCAGCTGCTCCTTCTGGATGTGCGGGTCATTTGGAAGGCTGCAAAAAGCCAAAAAGCCAAAAACAGCACAATGTTTAAGTGTTTTTCCTGCATATTCTGCTCGAAACCACAGTCTGCAGTAACAATCCTCCTCATCACTTTAACATGAATGGGCAGGCTAAACAGATGTCGTATGTAAAATGTTCATGGTTGTGACATCACTACCGTGATGAATTTAAAAGAGGCTTTTCTTCCAGCTTAAGCTCTATTATTTGAGCTGTAAATATAATTTGAAGGGATGTGACTAGCTGATTCGTACAAGATAAAGTATTTGTGTAATTTCTCCAAATTACCTCAGACAGCCTGGATCAAAACATCATAGCCCAGATGTTCACTTCAACATCATAGTGATTAGAATTAAAAAGATCCAGACAAACAAACAACAATGAACTTCCAGTTAATAGCAGATAGAATAGCAATAGGTTAGTAAAATGGGCTCATTCAACTTAACTTAAATGTCACCCAACAGGGCAGAAATCGCTCTGTTCTGCGAGAGGTACTTTCAGATATTTAAAGTAGCTCTCCTTCTAATTAGCCCATCATTCGTTATTACAGTAGCGTAGATTCAAATAAGGCTAATATTACGAGGAAGTCAAATTTGATGAAATATAAGCCCTTTTCGGACCAGATTAGTTTTACCTGGGAAGATGCTGTAATTTGAGTGATTAACGACGAAACTCGTGATTTTAATCCAGTATGAATGTGCCATGTCTATAGTTTTTACAAGTCTGCTTATTAATAATACCAGAGCAAATTACCTAATTACTTGTTGAAGTGACATCACAGTAATGTAGTAATGTAGTGTAATAACAAAACCAGGTAACATAAAACAATGCCTCCATTTTTTCTCTTTGTTTGTGACCTGTAAAAGGAGCTTAATTTGGCCCAATTCCTCAATCCTCAAGTTCATGACGACTACTGAAATCCACAACATTTTTACTGAAGGCCAAATTACAAGGAGAAGAAAATGACATATCTTGAAAGTACCTCTTGCAAGGCACTTGCACTGGGTGGCATTTGGTAAATTGAATGAACCCACTTTACAAGCTTAACTCTAGTCTATTTGCCATTTAGCTGTACAACACGTTGTTATTGTTTTGAAGTATGATCTTGATCCGAGCTATTTGGGGTAATTTGGGAAAATTACACAGATCCTTCATCCTGTACGAATCGGCCAGTCAAATCACACACAAATTATATCACATCAACTCCTCTGGTAAAACTAACCCAGCTCAAATAGGGCCATAGAAGATAATTAGCTCCAGAATTACTACTTAGCAGACTTGTAAACCTACAGACATGGCAGATTCATATTAGATTAAAATCAGCTCTCATCTGTAATCACTCAAATTACAGCACCTCTCCGGGTAAAAGTAATCCAGCTTGAATAAGGTTTGAATAGTTTCCAAATGTGGACTGCATGGATGCGAGAGTAAACAGTACATTTTGTAACATTAACAATGTTTACATAGTACATTAAACTCTTTTATCGTAAACAGCAAGGACAATTTGGGTTTCCACATTATAGGCAAAGCACTAACAGAACCAAACCCATCTCTATGTCTCTCACTCTTTCCCTTTCTATCTCTTTCTCATAAACATACACAAATACACAGACTTCTCTGTCCCTCACAGCATGCCCTGTCCCCTTTGTGGGTGACCTCAGCATAGTGTCCTGGAGTTACAGTAGGGAAAAGTGCTGCTGTATGCAGGAGTATCAGCTCAGCGTGTCCAATACTGTCCTATCATATTCATCCTATCCCCTCACGCACTGAGAACATGAGCGTGCACACACACACACGCACACACACACACATACACACACACACATACACAAAATCTGTCTTTCTCTCACACACATGTATTTGCACCTATATCTCCAAGGCAATTGTAATTGTAACTAATAGTAATTATAGAGTATATACATACATACACACACACACACACACACACACACACATATATATATATATATACACTATAATTACTATCATAAACTGCATCTGGATTTTCAAAAGTGATAGTGAAAGTGAAAAAGACATTTCCGCTAGGTTAACCTAGCATTAAAATGTATGTACTTTAATTCTTTAAACTACAATGCACCCACATTCTAATAACTACATAATTACAACTACATAATTTACAGATTATTTTCATAACAGTTACTAAATAATTTATAGTAGTTACTGCATAATTAACAGTAACTAATGAATAACAATGAATAACATTTTTTTTATTATTTTTTAAATAATCAAACTACAAATGCACATCTTGCTCATTCTGCTCCCTCATTCTGGACAGATTTTATGCAAAAGAGCTGAGCAGCAACCAATCAGATTGCTGATATGCAGCGTGGTAACGGATTATGTCAGGGGATTCAATCCTCAAACACACACCCAATGTGAGATGTAAACACAACTAATGTGGGTCATTATTATATTCATTACTGTTATTATTGATTTTGAAGTTTAGAACACAATATACGGCTCATAAGTAGCCTGAAGCACCACACACACTGGGCATCTAAACCTGCTTGTGTTTAAGCAACACAGCCCTAAAGCACCCAACAGTTGGCTAGAAAAGCAATTTGACTTGGTGTAATGTAAATGCAGCATTAACTAAAACTGTTCATGGTTACTGCAGATTACATATAGAATATATAAATATAACATAAATAAAAATACAAACTCCACCCCAAAACTAGCACACATACATCTCAATCAATAGTATGCTCAATCCTAAAACCTGGCAATACTGCAGCCCTCTCATCACTGATAACAAGTATGCAGGATAAAGAGTTAAGCAACTCTTTATTTCTGAACGTGGCATCTTTCACTTCAAGTTAGCGCTACATACAGCGCAATGTACCCAAAAGGCCCAAAATTAGTAAAGTTAGTTTAGTGAGATTTTTTTTTTTTGCTGCAGCATATTAGTCAACAGACTGGACACTGAATAATAAATCTTCAGAATAATAACTGAATAACAAGCCTACAGTAAAGGGTTAGCTGTTACACACATACAAACTCATTTATACATTCACACACTGATACCCTGCATTGACCACACAGCCTTTAAATAAAGCCAGGCCTTCGATCCTGAGAGCGAACAGAAGGTCAGTGTGTGTTTCAGTTTCTCAGAGTGTGAAAGAGCCCGCAGTACCGCAGCATTTTACTCATCCACAAACCGACCTGTACTGTTCTTACACCTCTCTCAACACCATTAGGAGAAACCAGAAAACTGGCCCCAGGTCTGACAACCTCCTCCAAATGCCAGCCACCTGCCAATGGTCACATCAGGAGTTTGTGTCTATAAAAACCAGAAGTGCAAGTCATAAGTTCCTGTTTCAGTTTGGGTCAACAGCGTGGCACTGAGCCGCGGTCACAGCGACAGAGACACTATGAAGAGAAACACTCCAAACATGATGCAAGAACTCAAACACCGCCTGCCAAAGTGTTCATACAAGACTTAGGAAAACCAACTGAACAAACTGAACAAACTGAGCAGTACAAATTTGCTGGTGTAGGAATAGTTTGCTCCTGATGTCACTGAATGATCAGACACTTCCCAAGTCAGCAGTGTGAAATCACACAATGTGTTTCACATTCATCTGGTGGTTGATGTCTTATTTAAAGAAAATAATTTTTTTGAAAAGAACCATTATTTGTGGGAGAGCGCTTGATAGTGTACATGTTTAAGGTCTGTTCCTTCACAGACATTTATGAATTATAGATATATTTTATAATGGACAATTTTATGAATTCAGATTCCAGAGGAAAATTAGCTTCAACAAAATGTTAAAATAAAAATGATAAGTCACTGATAAAAGTGAAATGACCTGACAGATCATAATAATATTTGTGCAATTTTAGACAGCCCTCCGAGTTAGAAATATGAAGTGATGATACACTGGAGGAATGTTTTGCTCGTACCTCAGACTGCTGGGGGGAGAGCAGGAGTACACATCATATCACAGGTGCAGAAATTTTCTCGAAGACCTGCCACAGTAAAAAAGAGAGAGTAAAGCATGACTACAGATACAAAGCCAGTTGCAGCTCACAAAAAAACAGAAAGTAACATTAAACTATGTTTGCAAATACAGATTGTAGCACCTTTACTGATTTCATGTTTGTGTTAAATTTTATACTCTTTATTTAGATAGCATTTTTTAAAGTATCCATCCTGCACATACACACACACACACATTTACAACCACAAACTTTCAAACTTTCATCTTTTCAGGCACAGCAACAATCTAACAAAAACAATCATATATAACAATAATAATTCTATTAATACTAATTAATTGTATTATTATTACTACTACTACTATAAGTACTACTACTACTACTACTAATAATAATAATAATAATAATAATAATAATAATGTATTAAACCATCCCAAAGTATAATAAACCAATTACAACAGAAAAAAAATAAATAAAGCAAAATAAAACAATAGCATATATGAACAGGACAATCATGGTGCAACTCTAAGCTAAAGGCTAAAACAAACAGTCGAAAAAAACCCCAGCCTTTTAATTCAGCAGTTCTTGCCAAATAAAACAGAACAATAAAAAGTACAAAAATAAAACAAGAACAAAACAATAAAACAGCTGAGTTAATGCAAGACAATGTCAAAGCAGCAAAATTAAAAAACAGTGTCTTCTGCAAAAATGTAACCATATCTATTTAGACTTACAGAAGCTCCTACTGAGCAGCAAAGAAAGAAAGATCCAAAGACAGCACACTATATTACTAGCCCAGCATTAGTAACCTCTGACCTGCTAGCACTGAAATTGTTTACACTAAAGCTGACACCAGTTTTCTAGATTCTAACTAAATCCAGTGCTAAGATGTATATGTTGGAAAAGTAAGTTGTGATGAGCTGCTGGCCACCAGCTTAAACATAAAACAGAACAAAAGAGCTATTACGGCCTGGATGCACTAAGCTGATTTGCTCTGGCAAGATGTTTTGGCACTGTTTTGATTCAGCAAGTAATCTCACTGGTCAAAGGCACAGGCTCAGGTTGACTGACTTGTTAGCTGCTTGCATTTCATTATCCAGTGAAACAGATCAACAGAGGAATATTTCTGTTTCTGCTTCTGTCTGAGAAACACGCAGAGCTATTGTGACAGTAAACAAGGCCACAGGAGGGAAATTTAGATCAGAATGACACAAATGACTGCTGGTTGGCTCTGCAGTGTGCTGTGATTGTCGCATTGAAGTGACTGCAGTCGCCACGGATCGAACTATTATGTCTGCTTAGTGTGTCCAGACCTTAATAATATCCTGAATCATGCACTGAAAAACAAGTACTGTGCACAAAAACAGGTGCATATTGTTGCTGTCACATGAAAACCTTGTTACTTCATTTTTCCAGTTTTCATTTTTTTGCAGTGTTTGAAAATACCAGCTGTTCTTTACATTGTGTGAACGTTCCTCGATGAATGAACCAAAAGAAATAGTCCAACATTACCTAGAATAAAACGGTATTACAATAACATATTAAAATTAAGAACGCATTAAACTTAAGAATGTTTTTTCACTTCTCGTAAAGTGTTTCAGAGAGACAGAGACTGAGTGTGTTAGGGGTAAGAAAGAGGCTCTGAGACGTCTCAGGTTTACTCATTCCCCTCACTCCTCTGCTCTGGGCCACGGGCCACAGGACGTGACATCACTCGCACAGGTCAAGCTCCCAGAGAGAAGAAAGAGACGAGAGGAAGAGAAGAGGAGAGAAGAAAAGGAAGACTCTGGAAGTGTTGTACTGTGGGGTCACCTTGCTTGGCTGAGAGATCAATGTCTCTTTGACTGGCTGGCTAAGGAGAAGACGGGGCAAGAGAGAGAGAGAGAGAGAGAGAGAGAGAGAGAGAGAGTGAGAGAGAGAGACTATGACTGCAGCTAAGATACCTTGCCAGTAAATCACCTTGCTGGCTTCATTGAGATGCAGGTATAACACACACTGGGCACGAGGCCAGCTTTTACACTACAAATGTCACATATGCACAAACACACATACAGATGCATGCACCAAAACACATGCACACAAAACCTATTGTCCACCAATATTCCTCAATTACATACAGCTGTCATATGTGATCTCATGCTGCACATTTAGCTCAGTTTATCATTTTCCACCTCATTCCTTCAATCAAATACTGAAGGACTATATTTGAAACTCAGCACAGCTTTGTGTCTATGAAAGCAATTTTCATCAATAATTCAATTATTTCATTTGTTGACAATGCAACTGATTCTGAGCACACCAACATCCCACACCATAGTCTCACAAGTAGCACACACCGGTGTTCAGATTAAACACACCCAAACTCGCTCCTGTACCAGACACACAGACAACACGCAGGAGTTTTTCTTGCACCCCCCACCAGTCCCTCGAGCAATCACAGCCCTGGCTGAAACACACATCTTCAGGATATAAACACGACATCTTTAGAAATACTGCAGCAGGCCCCATGCTGGGGGAGAAAAAGTTAAATTATTAGCTTTTCAAATAAATGCCCTATAACTCAGCTTTGCGGAGCGCGAGCTGGGTCGGGGGGGAGCAGCAGGCATGTCGGCGGATGATGGACACACCGCGACGGGGACATAAACTCTCCCCTGTTAAATCACTTTAAATGGAAATGTTTAGTGGCAGAGATGCAGATGAGCCTGGACTGCATGCTGCAGAGATTGTTTTTTGGTTTCACAGTCTGAATGAAAGTGCTCTCTCTAATGTCCTCCTGACTGGCCAAGCTACTGTGAGTAATCCTATACTGTGAACAGGGGCCAGAATGGTCATGGGCACCCAGGAATGAAATCCTTTATGTTTAATTGTATAAGAGAAAATGTGAAAAAGAACAAAAGCTTTAGGAATGCACAATGAATCGGAATCATATCAGTATTGGCACATTTTTGCTTACAAAAAATGCGCTATGATGTAAAAGTTGGTTGCCTTTGAATTGTACGAGTACAGATTTTATATATATATATATATATATATATATATATCTCACATATACTCATTGTACTGCATTTGTTACTCTACAAAAATAAATGTTTTATTTCTCCGTCATATATAGGTAAACATAGTCCCATTTTCTACATTTTATTAATGTTTACGTTGCAGCATCGGCAGAGACGTACATGAAAAATACTGGATATCGGCATTGGCCCAGAATTCCCATTTTAGTGCATCCCTAAAAGGCATTCTGATCAAGCTCATTATATTCCACATCTTAGCACGTCCTGTGGGACCAATACATTCTACGTCACAAATCTTCCCTTACATATCTAACTCACAGTCTCAACATCTCCTTTCTTGAGAGAAAAAAAAAATCTTCCAAGCATTGATTCCAACAGAGGCCCTCACTGATATGATTACAGATAATATTGTTTAACTTAATGCATGTAGATGATTCAAATGCCAATATGCATGAGGGGAACTGTGATTTCTCATTGTTGCCCTTTGATGTATAAGACCAATACAGTGACAGAAGACAACTATATTATCAGTATTAACCTAATCATAGCTGCCCCACAGCCAATGATCAGGGCACATATGGTGTCAATATTTCACTTCGGATTGAATTAAACAGAATACAATCCAGAGAGTATGCAATTTGCAACAGGCTTTGTGTGTGTGTGTGTGTGTGTGTGTGTGTAAGTGTGTGCGAAAGCTGGAAATACAAACACTTATTATTTTTACACCACTGTTTACAGAGCTGTTCGTAAAATAATTACAGTAACAGATAAATGCATTTTAATGCATATAAAATGTTAAATAGTGTATTTTATTTCAATGCGCCATTTAACATTTCAGTGCTCAATGAATAAGGAAGGTCATGGCTGCTTTAATTCTGATGTTCAGTTTGCAAAGAAAATATTTTCTGATTCACATAAAGAAGCAGTGACTATTTTAATAAATACATCAAAATCATTGGAGCGTTTGTTGAGTAATACAGCGTAGCATGCACTCACACATCAGCCTATTTGCTAAAGATATTACATTATTCTTAAAACACAGGCTGAACTGCAACACAGCAAAGGTGCCAAAACTGTACTGTAACCTGTGAGAACATCAGAAAAAATTCTGCAAGCCATGAATTCACACCTCAGCAAAGATGTTACTACTCACTGCATTTTAATCCCTATAATTAAACAGTGATTAAATGATGTCATCAGACCTGAAAATTACAATATCACACACAAGTGCAGCGTAGAAAATTGCACTGGTGCACTATTGTGTCTGACACAAAGGTGCTGCTCGAGACTCCAGCGGCCTCGGCTCAGCGGGAAGATGTGCATGCTACACTTCTACAATCCAACACTCCTGTAATTAAACAGCGCTGCATATTGACCTCATCAGGTAGAAAAGCCATAAATTACAGCATACAAGCTCCACTCAAAGGCAGTCTATGCCCAGCTGTGGAGGATGGCCAATAATTCATCATTTTAAAGCAGCAAAAACAAGGTCTTTTCTCTGCTATTAATCACACAGGAAATCATTGCATTTTCCACTGGGTAGAGACTACTGCGCCCCAACACAAACAGAGCTGAACCCCACAGCACATACAGAGAGAGAGAGAGCTCTCAGACATCAGCCCAACACTCACATCTACTCTCACTATTTACTGCACACTCTCTGTACATACCCCATCAAAGAAATGGAGAGAGAGAGACAGAGAGAGAGGGACAGAGAGAGAGAGAGAGAGAGAGAGAGAGACAGAGACAGAGAGAGAGAGATGGTGGTTGTTTGTGCTGTAAATCCCTTTAGCCAGCCGATGAAGGATGCTTTTATATCTCTATAATATTTCATCTCGATCAATCCAGCAACAGTTAAAAACAAAAGTTAGTCTGAAAATTCGCCTGAAGATTTTTATTTGAAGCGAATTATCCTGCAAAGCCCTGAGAGGCGACACAAACCTAAACGCAGCAAAGAAAGTGTAGAAATGCTCTACACAAACGATAATAAATGAGTATGGATTAAATGTAAATTATTGATTAAATGGTTGCATTGATTCACTGGACTGAAAGGCAAAAAATCGAAGCTCCAGGAGCCACGATCCATTTCAGACTCCTAATATTACGAGCCTATTTCTTCCATTTCGTGGTGAATATTGTGGTTAACAGAAACTCACGACGAAGCACGATAATTATACCTTATTTAGTTATATTAAAAGTATTTATTATTGTGTAAAAATAAAAGTCTGAAATCGAATAAGTTGCTTTCCGTGTGTTTTAATTCTGAACATCTTTCTCAGCTCGACTGACTGTTCTCTTTCAGAGACACATCGCGAAAACATTACGAGGTTGTTCGTTTTTACTTTTCATACTCAGATTAACGGGGTTTGATTCAGAATAAAGACCCTGAGTGTTCGTTCTGAATAAACTGCGATGTTCAACAAGTCTGAGAGGCTCAGAGCAGCTCTTTCTGGGTGAATTATTAACCGCGGAGAGCGAAGGGCAAAAATAAATCCTCACAGCCCTGGCTATTCAGACCTCTCATTAGATTAGACTATTGTTTTAAGATCAAATCAGTGAGATTTCGTCCAGAAGATCAGCCTGACATCTACAAAAGAGCCGTTTAAAGAGTTCACGGGCGCAGCACCGCGTTCACAGACTCACAGCGTTCATTTAAAAACGACCGAACTGAACCATTACAGTGACTAAAATACACAACTGTGAGAAACATCCGCGATGTCTGACTCTCAGTAATTTCACAGCTCAGAAACATTTCAGGTTGAGAGGCAGAACTGAGGAGCACTTCTAACTCTGAATCAGCCTCGCTCATTAGCACAATAATGTTAGCCAGTAAAGTAACATTTCACACAACTCGTCTCTGAAACTGCCGGGCTGCAACAAGTGAGTCTCTCCGTCAGCCTCAGAGGCAGAATTCAAAATCGAGGACAGAAAAAAACACATTTTATTTTAAAATGTAGTCGGTTCTTTTTAGTTTCTGAAGCCTGTTCTCCTAAATTATGTTGATAAAATTAGCTACTTTTAGCGAAATAACATTGCTAATAAGACTGTGTAAAATAAAAGAGAGAGAGAAAAAAATGAAAGAGAAATAATAAGAGACCAGAAGAGCCGTTTTCATAATTGCAAATTTATTGATGAACTCTATGGCGAGGTTGGGCTTTAAGGGCTCCAGTCGGTCAGTCAGTCAGTCAGTAGCTGCCATAAGAATCAAAACCAAAAACACACACACACACACAGGGCTACGAAGAGGCTCCTGACGAGCCGTGAGTTATGAGCTGGTATCATTAGATTTCCTCTCTGTTAACAGTGTTCATCTATCCACACCAGTGACCTGCTGAGAGTTAAACTTACACTTCAGCCCGGAGTATTTCAGCCGTGTATGAGCTCGGAGTGACACACATAGCACGCAGAAAACTCCGAGGGACTTTTTAAAAAAGCGCTAGGCAGCTTACATGCCAGACTGAACTTCATTTTTAGTACTAACAGCTCTGCTTAACGATATAAATTATATATAAATTATCTGAACGCCAGCCTGGTGCTGTGAACTGGCTGAGATTTACATTGCCGTGGCAAGTTAGCATGTTGCGCAGCGCAGACCTGTAGCATGAGCATTTTAACACACTGAATAAAACTCAGAGCAGGAGCCTGGACTGTCAGAGTCGAGCTCAGCTGAGTGTTTCCTCTCGCCACAAACACAGTCTTTTTGAATCTTTTGAACAAAGAACAACAACAAATCCAGTCTGGCAACTTTCACAACGTCAGGTACATCAGTGAAGACAAGCATGGAGACAGAGTGGAGCTTCACTTTTTTGTTCAAAGTCCCAAAAAAGTGGACAGACACGCCATGAAGAATGAATGTGAAGGCGAAGTAATCCATAAAAGTTCATTCAAATGAGAAAAAAAAAACCGTCGACCAGCACGACCAGCGTGTGGGAGCGGTTACATAGGCTCTATCATCTCTTTACAGCGAAGCACATTAACAATCTACACCATTTACAACACAGTTTACCAGGACGTACAGGATGGAGGAGAGGGTGGAAAAAGAAAGAAAGAAAGACAGGTGTTGATGTCTCCCTGGCTAAAAAGCAGAAGTAAACCCGTTCAGCTGTTCTGTTAGCATTTGCAAATCTCCAAAACCGAGTAAAATAAGAACGTGGATGTGTAGGGAAAGTTTCGGACGCGCATGCGCAGAGTGGTCCATATCGCCAGCACGTCTCTCTCTGTCAACCTGGGGCTCATAAAACCCCAGACAAACACCGAGAACATCGCGTTATGGGGTGGGTGAATAATAAAAACACGAATGACACGAGTGGGTCGTTGGTCAAAACTTAGTAAAAGTCTTAAACTTGATTCCTGAAATAAATTATTCATAAACTCTGATCTCCTCATTCTCCGGATCTCGAAAAGAACAATAAAAAATAATGATAAAACAAAATAAAGTCTCTTTGTCAAGTGTGACTATGACTAGTATCAGAAAAGTAAAAAAAGAAAAGCTCATAAATGACGTGAGAAACTTTCGATGAACTCGTTTCTCTCTAATCAAGTGCTGTCAAAAACAAAAACATACCACTCACATGAAAAACTCCGGAGAGGAAGGGTTGTTGTCGCTGCTCGAGCCGTTTTCTCGGAAGCCGTTCCCGACGAGCTTCTCGTACTTCTCCTTGTAGGCGTCCCTCTCCCGGACCAGCCTGGAGATCTCCTGCTTGAGGTGCTCCACCTGCTGCAGCAGCTGCGTCTTCTCGCCCTCCAGCACGTGCCGCTGCTGCACGCGCTTGAAGCGGCACGACTGCGCGTAGCCGCGGTTCTTCAGCGTCCTGCGCTTCTGCTTCAGCCGGATCACCTCCTCCTTGCTGACGCCGCGCAGCTGCCGGTTCAGCTCGCGCACCGACATGGTCACGAGCTGCTCGTCGGAGAAGCGATCGTCCAGGCGCGCGAGTTGGTGGCTCCCCGCCGAGCCACCGCCGCCGACCCCTCCGCCGCCGCCACCGCTGGGCACGCCGGGCGCCGTGGCGCCGTTGTGGTGGTGATGGTGGTGGTGGCCCGTCGCGTGGTGGTGGTGGTGGTGATGGTGGTGGTGGTGGGGCGCGCCGTTCTGCGCCGCCGCGGCCGCGATCACGGCGGAAACGACGGCGGCCGCCGAGCCCATCTCCTCGCCGGCCACGGCACCTCCAGGTCCCGCCGCGCCGCCGAACTGCTGCCCGCGGGCATAGCCGTCGAAGGTCTGCAGCTGGTGGCTGCTGCTGATCAGCGCCTCTACGGCGTCCTCGGGGCTGAAGCCCAGCGCCTCCGGGTTGAGCTGCTGCTGGTAGCCCGTCATCCAGTAGAAGTCCTCCAGGTGCGCCTTCTGCTCGCTCCCGGAGCCCGGGCTGGGCGCCGAGAAGCTGGGGGAAGGGGGAACCGAGCTGCAGGGCGTGCTCATCGGCGTGGAAGATACGGATCCCCCGGCGACTGGGCGGCTGCACTGGCTGATGCTGCGATCGGGCTCCACCGGCTCCTTTTTCACTTCAAACTTCATCAGATCGAAGTCATTAACATATTCCATGGCCAGGGGACTGGTGGGCAGGTCGGAGTTGCTCATTGCCAGTTCTGATGCCATCCTTTTGCTGTTGACAGTCCTCCAAAGGGGGTGAAGAGCAGCTGTCAGACTGGTCGGGTTCGAGACAGTGTGAGCCAGCTTGATTTCTTTATTTAATTCTTCAAAACCGAGAGAGGAAGAGGTAAAAAAAGAGAAGAAGACTGCGGATTTGTGTTATAAATGAACAGCCTTCTAGGGGTGTTTTGTCGTCTCTCCCGTCTCTCCTCTCTCAGCACGCGGATCTCGGCGCGTCTGAATGTGAAACATTTAACACTTCATGGCTTCGCTTTTTTTCTTTCTCTTTCTTTCTTTTTTTCTACAACAACTGCGTAAAGCTGAGGAGGTTAACGTGCATGTGACTAGCAAATTGTTGCTTTTGCTGGAAAAAAAGAGCACTCCGGGCGCGTGGTAGAGTTTTTAAAGGATCGCCCAGCAGACGAGTATAAAAGCAATGCTGAGTTTTATAGCCGCCTTGACGTCACGTTTGAAATAGGAATTGGACTCGGACCCGCAGCCAATGGGAGCGCTCCATCTGAGAGCTCATTTGCATATTAGAGACGAAACAAAAGTTTTTTTTTTCCTGAACTGTTCGTCCGGAATCGGATACCTCGAGCTCGCGCTCTTCACTCTTTAGCAACAAATAAACGACGTATTAAATACCTCATTTAAGAAACACACATTTTGATTCAGTGTTATTTTGTGATGGTCAGTTTTATGATGTGATATAAATTAAGCCTTAAAATAGCCTAATTATGGTGTGGAATCAGGTTAATGTAGTTTGTTTAGACTCAAATACCATGTTAGAGTCATATGTTCAAATAAATTATGATGAAAATAATCCGTCCCTCAGCTATTACAAGCACATGTCCCTTTCTTGTGAGTTTTGGCAGAAAATGCTTTCTCCCGTGTAAGCCACCCATGCAAGCTTCTAGAAAGTGTTTGTGCGTTTTAGTGATTTATCTGAGAGAAAATGTAAATGTAGGCTCGCTCTAAATGTTTTTCAGCGTCACCAGTCACATTGAAACACTTTGCTGAAAGACGTCGCCTTCCAAAGGAAGAGGTAAGCTTAGAAAATGTTAAAAATAAAGTATTTTGGTCAGACTATGAGGTACAGTGTCATTTTTGTCGAACAAATCGTTCTCTGAGCTCCAGCCTGTCAGTCCTGCTCCAGTGTGAAAACACAACAGTGCCACCTTTCGGACCAAACAGAACCCACCGCTGGAAAAATGGCCCAAAGACTGGCTTAGTGTGGCAGTTTAACCTACTAGACTTCAGTTAAACCACTTCATGCTTGCCATTTTGGGACAGCAGTTTCATTTTATGTCAGTAAGTAGACAGACACGGGTTCAAACAGGCTACTAACCTCCTCACTTCTGCAGCAGACGGCCGTCTCCAAAGATGCTAGGCTACCTCTCGCCTGAGGTGAAGGCAGGACCAGCTTCAGCACATGCTGAACGGCGTGTTTATTCCTCTGTCTACCGTACAGACTTCACTAAAACCAGACACTGTTTTATATTCCCAAAGTTACCACAGCAGGGTTTCAGCTTCTTTATCATGGAAGAGCTCTTTTACTCAGGAAATGAACGAGGCGGCCCGCGAGCAAGTGTACACAAAAACAAAGCCACTTTTTTGCACGAGCGCTCTGTAACGCGTTTCCATTGGGGCTGTGTGTGAACAGAGGCAGCACAGCAGAGAGTATTCTCACAGGACTCACTCCACTCCACTGTGGAAATGCCACCCAAACTACAAAGCCGACAGCCTCAGAATAAAAACAACCGCACTCCCACAGCACCAAGTGGAAATAAATATTCTCTTGGTCTCCGTGACTGTTCTTGAGGACCTGAAGTGGGAGAGAATAAACATATTATTTCATTAATTAGATCACCAAACAAAAGCCTTTAGAGGCCTTTCAAGAGCTCTGAATAAATATTGAATTTATGTCCCATCTGACTGCATAGCAGCTCAAGCGTCAAGAGGACTAAGGAGAGGCAGAAGAGAATTAATATATATAGAAAACCTTTTGGCAGCAGTAGTGAGTGTGCCTTTTTATACCAAGAACAAGCAATTTTCACAATATATTGTACCTCTACCTGTTTTCCTCTCTGAAAAAAAGCTCTTTTATATTAATGTCAGTGATTTTAGAGATTCGGTACTGTCCTGTGCGATGGTGCTACTGGGTTTATTCCTACATATAGGTAGCAAGTGGAAGTTACTCTGAAGCTGTTACACACATTGTGCTGAAGCCCAGTCAGGTTACAGTTACAAAGCCACCATGGCACACTGACATAGGAGTTCTATTCCCATCCCTGAGGTTTCAGATTTGTCCTTAAAATTAGAAAATCATAAGCTATGTTTCTTTTAAGTACCTTCATGGCTGGCATTAAATGATTCTGTAATGCAGAGTGAATGTTGCGAATCTAAACATAATTTCTCTGAGCAGGAAAGACAGATTCCAGTCCTGGACGGTCAGATTCGCCCACATTTTGGTGATTTTTCTATTCAGACACACATGATTTAACTCAAAAGTTAATTTCCAGCTTTTCTTGGTGTGTTAAGAGCAGGAAAATCACCAGACTGCCCCTTTACACTCCTGAAAAGATGGTTCTTCAAGGCTTCTTTAATAAAGAGAATGGTCCTATATAGAACCATGAACACTCAAAGAACCATTTGCATGCTTAAAGGGTTCTTTGCATCGTAAAATCGTTCTTCAAATTGATGGAGAATGCATTGTATATGGTCCTGTATAGCACCAAAACAGATTCTTCTATTGTTACAAGCTTGACATCAAACCTTTTTTGGTGCTATATAGAACCCTTTTCAAAAAAGGTTTTATATATGATACAGAGCCACTATCTTTACTAAAGAACCTTTGAAGACCCATCTGCAGTTTGCCACCCCTGCCTTAAAGGCAAGTTGTGTGCTTAAAACATCTCTGTTCAGGCAACAAAGCATTTGGGCTGAAAACAGACCCAAAGAAATCTTATAGTAGCACCTCAATCTGCTTTTAGCCTACTTGTTTTGTGTTGCTCTATGTCATTACACTGACTCTTAATTCGGCTGTCCGCAGTCGCTGTGTGAGCACTCCTGCCGGAAGCACTTTGCTGTTTACCTCCTATAAAGCTGAATTTATTAGCTTGTGCATCTCATAGGTTAATGGGAAGAGCACTGGCATAATATATCACAAATGTAATGATGGTTAAATGGTTAATAGTCCTGTGCACAGTACATTCAGTTCCTCTTCCAGAGGTTTCGTTTAGAGAAATGCTATACCAACGACAAACAGCGTTTTCTCTCATTTGGCGATATTTATTTAAAAGAAAAACCACAGGGCCAGAGAATTCAGCAAAGAGACAATACTGAACTGAGATCAAATCGACCATCAGATCTGTCTGATGTTATCCTGCTAAGCTCTGGCATGCACTTGCTTTGTAATATTGTTATTGTATTAGTGTAGTATTGTATACTTCTTCAATTACAGGCTCTTAAAATAAAGGCTCCTAGTTCTCAGCATGGACTTTAAATCTTTAAGTGTAGGTTCTTAAACTTTTTGAAGGTTCTTCACAGATTTATAGACAGAAATGGTTCATCAGAAACCATCCATTGAAAAGTTCTTTAGGGAAGCAAAAGTGGTTCCTGTTGCAGTTTTTTCATAACTGTCTCAGAAGTGTCGCTCTTATTGACATTGAATTACAAATTGTAAAATTCTTTGCTAGATTTCACCTTGTGTGTCACATGCATGTACATAATTTGTTTACGGTGCTTTCAGAGGTCTAAAATGGGATTAAGTGTTCATCTGTCTACAGTATTGCAACTAAAGACTTGATCATTTAGGTACAAAGCTGAAAGAAGAGAGAATTCTTCATATGCGCAGTACTCTATACCTTTACTCACTTCCTGTGCTCATCTGCGCACATTAGCAAGGCCTTTATTAATGTGAGATTTTATGACCTTTCTTATATCAACCCCCTGAGAATATTGATGAATATTGTGTAAAAATAACCAACCTTACAGGCCTATTACATGATTTACAGTTAGTCCATACACATTTAATTATTGCATCCATTACTGCGTTCTCCCATTGTTATGAACGATGGCTCTGCCGACATACTGGGAGCCCTTTTTTCACTGAGGTAGCTACCACACAGATGTCAACAGAGCTTCAAATGCATGAAGTCTTCAAAACCTTTGGTTTGAACCACATTTGCAAGCACAATAACTTAATTAATAAACAATGTTTATTCTCAGATGCAGAGGAAATTTGTCACTCATGGATATTTCCTTATGACTGTTTGTTGGTTGGTCTGTTTATTTACACAGGGTGGCTTTGTTACGTCACTGTCTAATTCAAAGGAGCGCATAAAAGAAAGCAGGTGATGTTCAGGTACCAGAACACGTTTTCTATATGATCATCCAGTCCTGGAGTCCATTATCATTGATGAGCGCAGTGTAAACCTGGTCCATCGAACTTTAATAAAGCTGTTAAATGAAAAGAAATCCGCTGTTACTGGGATTATGAGCATAATCATTCATTATACAATCCCAATGGGTGGCTAGCTTAATATTCATTTTGGAACCCCTATTTAATGCCGTACATTAAATCCTGAGCTTAGTCCAAATGAACAAGATGATTTCAATGCACTCATTTGAGCAACATTTAATTATCGGCTCCAGAAAATGAAATGTTTCTCCAAAGGTTTTTTAACTAAGTGTTGTATCTCTTTGTAATAGAATGAAAGGAGCATAAAAAGCTATTACAAGGTCGAACATAAAGGCAGTTTAACGGGGTTCTTTCTGTGCAATGTTTTATGAAGGGAATAAAAAAATGCATATTAAGATAATAAGCTTCCACTTCATGGAAACAAAGTGTGGTAATTGAGCGTCGGCTTCCCTCATTTCAGAGTTAATATTCTCCTTTCACCATCTGGATTTTAATGCGCTCCCATTTCATCTGCAGACGCATTTATCTTCACATATTCACCCCACTCTCTACCTCTCTCTTGCCGTCTCTGTGGCTCTTCTTTCACCTCTTCTCATCCCTCTCTCCGTGAAGAGTTTTACTACTCATCCATTTATTACACAAAGACTAGAGGAGGGCCAAGTGACTTACAGTCACACCCAGATTGTGTATGGTTGTGTGCGCATGCACGTGTGCGGGGGTGTGTGTGCTCTCCTCTGTAATGCTCATTAGAAAAGGAGCTTTACTCTGCATGAGGTCCATCCCTGAGGTCTCAGATTTGTCCTTAAAGTTAGGGAATATTGAGCTATCTTCTTTTAATTACCTTTATGCAGGGGGCTAAAATGATTCTGCAATGCAAAGTACATGTCATGAATCTAAATCTAATTTCTAAAAGGCTGCATAAAACTAGCCTGGACTCAGAAGAGGTGTCAGTGGATAACTGTGATTAAAACCTCATTTCATTTGTCATGAATGGGTTCAGCTCAC